ACCCCTCTAACCATCCCCAGAACCTTTCACCTTCCCCACCTGAAACTCTGCCCATTGAACACTCACTCCCCATCCTACCCCCTCCCTCAGCCCTGACAGCCACCACTCCAGGCTCTGTCTCTCTGAATGTGACTGCTCTTGCTGCCTCGTGTAAGGGGAATCACACAGTATTTGTCCTACTGTGATTTAGCCACATGCTTTGCAATCACAAAAGCTGTGTGATCTTGAGAAACTTAATCTTCTTGAACCTCCACTTGCCCATCTGTAAAGTGGCTGTAATAAGAGTACCTACCTCCTAGGGTGGTTGTGGGCTTTAAATGAGATTATACATACAAGGCACGTAGCTGGTTCCTGGCACGTAGAAAGAGCTCAATACCTATCAATCACACATAGACACAGGCCATACATTGTAGACACTGCACTGTGCTTATTAAGTGTCTGGCACCTTTGGAAGCACCTTACATATACCTGTTAACTCAGTAACCTCACGGCGACCCAGTGTCACCATCATCTGCAAGTCACAGAGGAGAAAGCTGAAGTGTGGAGAGGGTAAGTCAGTGCTCAGAGGTGGGGCTGAAACCCTGGCAGCCTGTTTCTAACACCCACAGCTTCTCCACTGGCCAAATTGCCTCTGTGGCCTGTCAGTGGACAGTCATCGTCAACAACTTGGTCCTGGATCAGGCGATCGGGATGAGTGAGTGAAGGTGTCGGGCCTCATGTATGAGATGTCTGTGGGAATCGGTGGAAAAACTGAAGATGAGTTGGCTGTCACCCTCCATGTGTGGTCCCAACCCATGGGGCAGTCCTCATGTCCACTTACACGTGCAGGTCTGCTTTGGACCCTGACTGTGACCGCGGGGAACTGGGCCCTCCCTCTCTGGCTGGGAAGGCCTGGAGGCTTCTAGATGATGCAGCTAAGCTGGCGCCTTCCCCCTTGCTTGGCAGGACGCAAGCTCAGCAATCCTAAACCACCCCTTGCCCTGCCCAGTTGAGATTAAAAAGAAAAATGTTTCCTTTCCTGGGCCTCAGGGCCACCTCCCACCCAGCTTTACTGCGTTCTGGGCACCCTTTTAAAGGGCAGAGGCTGTGCTGGGAGCAGCAGCTCCAGTCCGGAGATAAGAGTGTCCAGGAGAGCAGGTGCGGGTTCCCAGCCGCAGCGTCCGTGGGGACGGGAGCCTGGCTGGCCTCGCCCGGCCCTTCCAGACGTCCTGAGGATTAGCTCAGAGTTGGAGGCGGGGGATTCCTCCTGGGCTGCCCTTCCTTCCGCATCCACTCTCCTCTCCCCTCTGTAGGCTGCCGCACCTATGGGCGACCTTGAACCTGGCAGCGGCAAGGGCAAGGAGCCGAGCGCGGGCGGCCGCTGGCCCGGGCTGTCCTGTGAGCGGCTGGGGCAGCCCTGCCTGGTGGAACTGCTGGGCTCTGCCCTCTTCACCTTCATCGGGTGCCTGTCTGTCATCGAGAACGGGCCGGGAGCCGGGCTGCTGCAGCCGGCGCTGGCCCACGGGCTGGCCCTGGGGCTCCTCGTGGCCACGCTGGGCAACCTCAGGTGAGCCGGGGCCTGGGAGCCGAGCTGTGGGAGGGAGCCCTGCGCACACTCTCGGGATTCCCGGAGCACGTGCACAGCAGCGTGGGCTGGGGACCCAGGCTGCCCGGTTCACATCCAGGCCCCAGCCTACGGGCTCTGTGACCTTGGGCAAGTCACTCTTCCAACCCTGACCTCCCACCCTAGAAAATGGGAACCAGAGCGTGAGTTTAAAATTATTTTTTTCACATGCTAACACGCATACTATGATGCTAACCGTGTGCCAAGCGCTGTTCTAGCCACTGCAGAGATGAACGCGTGTAACCCCAACAGCCGTGCGGGGGTTCTCTCATTACCCCGTCTCCAGCTGTGACAGGGAACAGCCTACCTTGCCCAGGGTTACGTGGCTCCTAAGCGGCAGAGGGCAGAGCCAGGAGACAGGCTGAACTGCCCGGCTCCAGCGCCCCACGCGGGAGCCTGGGGGCAGGGGGATGAAGCGACGGCGGGGCTGCCTCCACTGGTCGCTGCGCTGTGTTGGTGTTAGAGTGGGCTCTGCTCCAGCCTCGAGGTTTCCCGGGGAAAGCACCCATGTTGTAGGGGGCACCCATGAACCTGAGTGGTCCCGGCCCATCAAGGGGTGACCAGGGAGGGGTGGGGGAGGCCCCTCTTGCACAGCGCCCATCTGGACAGGAGCCCTGTGGGGAAGCCCGAGGGCTTCCAGGAGAACCAGCCATACTGACAAGCGCCTTGAATGGGGCTCCTGGCGGGGTGATGGAGGACAGGGCTGCTTGCACTGAATCTCACTCAGGAGATGGATCAGAATAAAGAAATGAAAATACTGTTTCCCAGAAGAACAGATGCAAAAGAACTTTGACATTTCTTTCAAATGTCCCCGAGGCTGTCCGTGGCATGAACAGCATGTGATCTGTTCCCGCGGGTCTGGGGTCGAATGCAGTCAACCTTGGTCACATCTTAGCTGGGTGGACGGGGCAAGTAGTGGAACCTCCGTGCAGTGACGTAAATGGGACAATAGTGATATCTGGTGTTTGCTGAGTGCTAACTGTGTATGTGACACAGTATGTGAGCACGTATGTGATATAGTTTGTGCGCATGTGTTGACTCATTCCATCTTTGCGACAGTCTTATGATGTAGGGATCATTGAGGCACAGAAAGGTCGTAACTGGCCAGTAGTCACACAGCTATTCAGTGGCAGAGCTGGGATTTGAGTCCATGCCGCTGGCTGGGGAGACCATATTTTATGCACTGCCGGAGACTGCCTCTCTAAAATGCCAGCCTTTTATTCAATCATTTGCTTTTAACAAATATTTATTCAGCACCCACTGTGGCCCAGGCACTGACTGTGCTCAGTGGATCCAAGATAAGGTATGTAAAACACCCAACACTGCACCTGGCACATAGTAGGTGTTCAATGAATATTTGTTGAGCAAATAACGAGTGAGTAAACCCAGAAAGTGTCTTGATTGTTTTATCGTTAATGAGTGTGAAGTTAGTCCTGGGAACATGTGTGGGGGCCTGGTTGAGCTGTGCTCTGAGTAAGCTTCTCTCCCTGTTGGGCCAAGTGAGATGGCGGAGGGGAGGCCGATGGCCGCAGAGAGGCTCTAACCCTGCGGTCTCCCGCAGAGGGCCTCCACCACGCCCCACTTCATCTCTATGGTGTAAGGGAGCCCCGGCTGACCTTGGTAATGGACCTGAACTGAGGCAACGCAGGCCTGGCCACCTCTGCCCACTTGAGTCTGAGCTTCAGCTGGGGCTTCCAGATCTGGGCCAGATGAGGCAGATGTGGGCCCGAGACACTAGCATGCTGGACAAGGTCCTCTGCTCAGTCTCAGCTCAATGCCTTGTGTCCCCTGGCGCCAGGACAGTTGGTGGGCTCTTAACATCTGGGGGCAGTTTGGTTCTTGTGTGCCATGGGGGAGCTTGGGGTCACTTTTCCCCCTAAGGGGGTGTCCATTCCTCTCCATGCACTGGAGGAATTTAACAGGCCACCTCTGAGGACAGTGAGACCAGATGGGAGGCTGGTGCAGGTACAGAATTGGGGCTTCGGGCTCTGAGGCCTAGCTACTGAGCATCTTGGGGAAAATGGAGGCTCTTTACCCACAACCAGTGGGGGGCCAGCCAACCTGAACCTGCCCTTTGACCCTAGGTTTGACTTTGTCTACCTCCCCTCCGCTCACATCCCAAACTCCAGGTCCGCATCCCAAACCCAGTCGTGAACTTCCAACCTCGCTCCCGATCCTCGGTGCCATCTCCAACCCGAACCCCTGCTCTCTGCTCTGTCGTCGACACTACGCCACTTTCAGAACAAGAGTAGGGGTTTCCAAGCTCACAGACACACAGAACAGATCGGCGGTTGCCAGGGCAGGGGGTTGGGGCGGGAGAAATGGGTACGAGCTTCCAGTGATAAAAGCAGTCAGCTCTGGGATGCGACGTGCCCACGGATGTGAGCAGAGTGCGTAACACTGTCTCGCACACTTGGTCGCCGCCGAGAGCGTAGATCTTCACAGGGCTCATCACAGGAGAGCTCTGCAGCCAGGTGTGGTGCGAGTGCGAACTGGACTTGCTGAGCAGGCCACTGGCAAGAATACATGCAAACACCGAGTTACTACATTCACGCCTGAAACTAGTGTGATGCTGTTCGTCCACTGTACGGCCATAAAAAGCCAAAACAAAGGAAAATAGGGTTAGTGTTGGTTGAGCAGTTTAACCAGTGAGGAGTGTGTGCTCAGGGCCTGGTTACTCACAGGGGGAGGCCAGGGACGCCTCCCCTGGCTACGGATTTGGAGTCTGGGGTCTCATTCTGGCCGTGGCCCCAGTCGTCTCTGAAGAGCTGGGAGGGGTTCTGAGTGGGGGGTGGAGGTGGGGCAGAGTCCGGAGGAGCTGAGAGGTGGTTTCCCGAGGTTCTTCCTCTGGGCATCCTGGGGCGTCCAGGAGCTGGGCTGTGCTCCCTCTGGGCTCCCCCAGGCCCTGGCCCACCGCTCACCTCAGGAAGAATGGTCGCGATTCCGTGGCTGATTCTCCTTGGACTGGGCCCTTGACTGCCTAGCGCAGGGCCAGCGGGGGCTGGTGGGGACACCTTCCCCAGCCTGAACCTTGCCCTCAAGACTGCCTTCTGCTTTTGTGGGTGACAGTGGTGGACACTTTAACCCTGCGGTGTCCCTGGCTGCCATGCTGATCGGAGGCCTCAACCTGACCATGCTCCTTCCCTACTGGATCTCCCAGCTGTGCGGGGGGGTGATTGGGGCCGTGCTGGCCAAGGTGAGTGACCCCCAAGGGGGCTAGGCTGGTGGCTTCTGCTCTGTGGGGCTGCTGGGGGCTGGGGAGTGGGACTGTCCAACTCCTGTTCTCTCCAGTGGGACTGGGTGGGCCTTCCCTACTTAGGAGGGGGACACTCACGGGGCCTTTGGTTCACTCCAAACCCACCTTGTTCCCTCCACGTCTGGACAAACCAGGACAGCCAGGAAGCAGAATTCAGGACTAGAGGTTTTCCCTCCCGAGGCTGTTCTGGCTTTGCTGGTTCTAATGTTTCCCCTCCTGTTCGCTCATTCACTGGCCCATTATTCCACAAACCCTTACTAAGCCCTGCCTGGGGCTACAGCTGATTCTCCAAAAACCCCGGGCCTCACTTCTCCTGTGCTCCCCAGCTTGGCCCCTAAACTGAGCTCTCCGCCTTGGGTGGGACTTCACCTTCAGGTTGCGTGGGATTCCCCCCATCCCAACAGAAGTCTAGCTCTTCTTTCCGAGGCAGGACTTTTACAGCTCCATACATAAGGCCATGGCGAATGCCTGCCTTCCCTCCCT